CTCTTGAAATGTTTTCACCCATAGATTGAGGCATTTAATGATTAGTGAATGAATTGAATAATTTATATATAGTAACAGTGGCTTCACTGCCATTCAATTGAATGAATGAATGTATAAATAAATGTTTCAATTTGTTGGCCAATCGTAATCACAAATGAGTGCTAATATCGTAGATGTTATCTAAGATAGATCTGCAGAGATAGTGATGCCATGTATCCCAAGCCTAAAGTCAGTACATCTCTGGACACAGAACTGGCCGAAGCCCTTAAAACCAATGACTATAGCGATTGCATCCGAAGACTGGATCAATACTATGGACAGGGTTTGCAAAAAGCGAATGCGGATCAATGGATGGATGTATTGAATGTATTGAACATCTTTTGCAGTGAAGCGCCAACTCTTGCGATACCAGAGCCCGACGACGGGACTGTTCCCTCGGGTCTCGTGTCATACAAACGAAGCCCATATCAGAGACTCGCTGTACATCTGTAGCGCCATTTGGGCCCTCTTTCAGGCCTACACCAAACGCATCGACGATGACCGGGGTAAAGGGCATGAGCTAGGTCAGAGTACTGTCAAGTGTATGCGAGGCATACTATTCGTGTGGATGAGACAATCCAAAGACAAAGTGGAGCCCTTTAAGACCAACCAGTGTCCCAAACACGCCCTCCACTCCAAAGTCAATCTCAACACCGGGTTGTCTCTCAATGACGACACGTACGGCCACTTGCAGATAGATGTGGTCAGTCTGTACCTCCTATTTCTCGTCCAAATGATCACATCAGGCCTACAGATCATCTACACCATGGATGAGGTGCAGTTCGTACAGAACCTGGTCTACTATGTGGAGAGAGCTTATCGGACGCCGGACTTCGGTATGTGGGAGAGGGGCAGCAAATACAACACCGGCACCCCTGAGATCAATGCCTCGTCCATCGGAATGGCTAAGTCTGCTCTCGAGGCCGTTAACGGATGCAATTTGTTTGGCGAAAAGGGCGCCGCTTGGAGTGTCATATATGTAGACATTGACGCTCACAGTCGTAACCGAAGTATTTTTGAGACACTTCTGCCACGAGAGTCCAGTTCCAAGAATACCGACTCAAGTATTAATATTTAAACTAGATCATATACCGGTAATGTTTTAATGACTGAAAGCATGAATTGCAATCATAGGTCTGTTACCAACGATAAGTTGGCCCTCATTTGCCACACACGACACCTTTCTATACACTACCACTAAGGAGAAGATTATTAAGCATTTGAAGACTCCCTACGGGTTCAAGAGATTTATCAGAGATGGTTACGGAACTGTTCTCGAGAAAAGAGGTTTCATTTTGATCTCTCTATTTGAATGGACTTATGATTAAATTTACAAATTATTCACATTTAGAGCACATATACCAAAACGAAGAGACCAAACATTTCGAGAATATAGAGTGTGTTTGGCCTCTCTTTTGCTGCTTTCTCGTCATAGATGGGTATGTTTGGGGAGGGGGTTGAGGGGTGCGGGGGATATATTTAAGATGAATAGATTTAATATATCATAAACTAATCATATATATAGCGTCTTCAAGAATATTGAGTCACAAACCAAATACTATAAGGACTTACTCTTCAACCAACTGCTAAGAAGAGATCCCAATACTGGCGACTACTTAATACCCAAATACTATTATGTAACTTATGTCTCATTTATTAGCAGTATTTTACAAAGATTATGACTGACATTTACTTTACTTGATGCAAATGTTTGTACCAATTGGTAGGTTCCCCCCGAATATATTGACGCCGAGAAGGCAGACCCCGGGTCTACGCCTCGAATTGCAAGTCAAGAAGGAAGTGATTCATCGGTTATGTATCTTATGGGTCAGGTATGTCTCTTTTGATATAAATTTTGTTATAAACAATGTCATTACAAATTGGTGAAAATATTGGACATCACTTGATAGGCAGTTCTCATAATCACTCAGCTTTTGACCGAAGGTTTATTACAAACCGTAGAATTAGATCCTATCAGACGTTTTATGCCGAGCTATGACCGCACCCGAAAAATTGGTCGTTACTCTGTATTTCAGGTTTGCATACAAATTACTTCATGTTTATTGCGAAAGAATATTCCGTAACTACAGTATATATCTACTTCTTATTATAATATTTTCTTATTTTACACTCATTTCTTTGTAATCTTTGTACAAAAACTTTCAAATTGGGATAAAAGGGCGCAAAATATGTAAGTTTCTATAACTTGTTGTTTTTAAATCCCCTAGGCAATCTATACAAATAATTTTATTATTTAAATATGTTTTTAAATATAATTATATACTGCATAAGCAAGCTAATCTCGTTGCACGTGAATGCTAACCAAAATGCTTTTGCTTGATGTGATTTGTATCTCAATTAATAATATACTGCATCCCAGGGAACTGCTTCTGATTTGGTGGTTCAGGTCGTATTGATTGCTGAATCAATGCGTTTGCAGGCAATGATGGTATGAATGGTTGACTAGACATGTCGATGAACTCATTATCATGACTGATCTATTATTTTTAAGGCCACGTATGGAATACAAACTCAAACACCTCTTGAGGTGGAACCGGTCCAGATATGGCCACCATCTCAGTTGGTTAGAATCTATGAGCTTTTAGGTATAAATCGGAAACTAGGCCTAAAGGGTAGACCTGCGCGACCTATCGGTGCTTTAGGAACCAGTAAATTGTACCGAATATTCGGACAGACAGTTCTCTGCTATCCCCTCACCTTTGAATTATCGGACTTCTATTTGTCTCACGATATGGCACTCCTAATCGACGACATTAAAAATGAATTACATTTTGTGGGCAAATACTGGCGAATGTCTGGTCGGCCGACGGTCTGTATTCTCATCCGAGAAGAGCACTTACGAGATGTGAATTTCAAGGAAATGCTCGACCTTTTGGTTGAATTCAAGAAGGGTTACCTACAGTCAGGTCTTAAGATTAAAACAGGTCGACTCCAGAACCTAATCAGCTCTTCGTGTTTCGAACACTTGGATTTCCTCCACTTATACCCATCCGAAGCACTCCCGAAGTTAGAGAGCTTTCGTCAGTTGGAGCACACGATGGGAATTGGATACCAGTCCCTCACTGATATTCCCAAAGCCCTTGTGTACAGCGAGTCCACGGATGTCGATTTTAAGACTTTATATGAGCACCGACCTACTTGGCCAGACATAATGGATGCTCTGAGAACGTGTGACACACTTCACGCTCAGAGTCAACTGTTGGCCATTCTGTACACCAGAGAGGGTCACAACTTCGCTCTTCCCGACGGCACGACAGTCAGCGAACGCTTAGAGCGGCTGTTGAGACAGGCCGGAGCTCTGCGGCACTGGTCTGTCGTCCGGTACTGCAGTTCTATATTACAAAAACTAGTCGACTCTATCTCTCCATACATTACACAAATACTAGTGAGCGGTAAACAGATAACAGTGGGAACGTATGGCCATAAGGAGGTGGCTATCGATCACCCGCGCACTCCCAAAGAGATCCGCCAATTGCTATATCAGGTGATTAGTGAGCCATACGGTGTTGTTCTTCAGCAGGAGATCATTCTATACGTGGGACGACTCATATCGACGACTCCACACTTGTTCGATGGAATCGTTAAGATAAGAGTCGGTTCCTTTGTAGAGGCCATGAAATACTACCTGAGCTTCAAGAATGAGAAGCAAACAAAGTTGGAGTCATTGGCTCCGAGTCAGGTGCGACGGGTTCTCTATAAAGTTCTCACGGATACAGACCTTGAACCCAGAGAAAGACGACTTATTGAGGGTTCATTGGGTCGGGTGCCCCAACACTTCTATGACAAAGTGTGGGTTGTATTGGGGCGCACACACGCCGGACTCACAGTAGCCGGTCAGCACATGGCATCCGGGCCTACCATTACAATGATGTCTCAAAATGAGCTCAATTTCATGACTAAAGTGGAGAATTTCTTGTGCCAAATCTCAGCCCCGGAATACAGACAAATCGTTGTCGAGGTATTAAATTGATAGCATTTATTATTCTGTAAAATATTCTGTATGTAAATGAGCTCAATTTCATGACTAAAGTGGAGAATTTCTTGTGCCAAATCTCAGCCCCGGAATACAGACAAATCGTTGTCGAGGTATTAAATTGATAGCATTTATTATTCTGTAAAGTATTCTGTATGTATACATGTATATCAGTAGTAATTACATAATTTTCTTTAACTAATAGAATAACAGTCGAAAATTAGTATTAAGTACATTAAAACCTCGCTTTAGGACTTGAACACAAATTTCTAAACTACGGTCATCTGGACCTAGTCCATAAATATCTTAAGAATTAGTTCTTATAAGTTATATGATACACAAATTTTTATAAGTTTTAAAAGATATGCAATCAATTTGTTTCATTGTTTGTGTGGTTAACAGCTAATCAAAGGTGCGGTGAATCGCTATAATACGGACAGAGAGGAGATGATAGGAATCAACGAGTTTTACAGTGAATCCAAGAACCAGACGTCTGCTTATATGGCGCGTACAGTTCTGGACAGTTTGCTCCACCACTCAGCCCCTGATTGCAAAATCAGTTGAATTATGCAAACATTTAGTGTTCAACAGTTTTGTTTGATTTTTATGAAATTTTATCTCAACTAAACAAATCAATGGATTGTTTTGTTTTATTCTCACGACCAATTACTTTTTACTCATTTATTAGTTATCATAGTATTTGTTAACTGACAACAAATTATTGTTTATATAAATTACTAAAATTTAATGTTTTATAGCTTTTATTGATCGCAATTATATGCAACCATTTTTAGACAATTAGTCATAAATTGATATAAAAATAATTATAAATAAAAATATAAGAAAGTTGACTTGAAATATAAATTCTAAAATAAAAGTTTCCAAAGTTATTGTAATTGATTCTGGTAGAAAAACGGATTCTGTGTAACTATAATATTATATACAGTGCAGTATCAATGAGTTGTCTATTAGTAATAGTAATAGACTATTATAATACTATTAATATATTAGTCTAAGATTATAATTTCATTAGTCATCTCTTATCGCACAAAACTAATGATACAATTAATGCAAAGTGTTGGCAATATTTATTAAACGCATTCAAATGATTAGTGATGTACAGTAAGCCTATATTAATAGTAAGTGAACACAGAATATGATGCATTGAATTGTGTGCACATTTGGCTCATAGACTGTATCACTGTATCCCTCGTATGACTGTATGTCTGGTGTAATGCGTGCAGTGTTTCAGTGTTTGAGTGTTGACTGCAATGCCATGTATTGTGAGTTGGAATGAGACGTACAGAGAGTGTTGTGATTCATGACTCAATCACTCAATGAGTGCTCATTCAGTGAACGCACAGTCAATACAACCACACAATCATATCGTCGATCATATTGTGTCCCAATCCGTGACCACTGATTGTCACACAGACTCTCAGTAGTAATACATTGAATACAATCCATACGATGGCAACCCGAGCATCAATGGGACGACCAGTGATGTCAGTGATGTGGGTGGCGGTGATGGTGTGTGCGATGGTGTGTCCATCGGTGGTGCAGGCCTTCTATCTGCCGGGATTAGCTCCGGTGAACTTCTGCGAGGACGACAAGCCGACGGAGACGTGCAAGTCTTCGGTGCGCCTCTTCGTGAACCGCTTGGACTCGGAAGAGTCGGTGATTCCCTACGAATACTCTCACTTCGACTTCTGTCAGACGCCGGACACGAGTGACTCTCCGGTCGAGAACTTGGGTCAAGTGGTGTTCGGGGAGCGGATCCGGTCGTCGCCGTACAACATCTCCTTCT